TTGTTTTGAAGTGTATTGAAATTTGAAGTTCTCTATCTCAGCTATTTCACATCGTCAAACAGGAAAAAAACGCGTATTTTTCTATCAATCAGGTTTGTTTGGTTTGTTTTATTTTAAACTAGCAAAAGTACCCGTCCCCAGTGACGGGAACAAGTTAATCTATCAATTTAAATTACTTTATGGACTTTGAAAAGGTTAAATGTGTTGCATTCTTGGATTCACTCAGAGCCAAGGCTCTGAGCTACTTATACCGCTCACCACGAAAAGTAATTGTTGAGCATATAAGTCATTCTAGCCCCCCAGTAGCACAGCGGTATGTCAGCGGACTTACAACGCTAGAAACCGAGTTTCGATACCAGTGGTGGGCAGAGCACAGATAGCCCTTTGTGTAGCTTTGTGCTTAATTTCAAACAAACAAACAAACAAGTCATGCTAAGAGCCATTCAACAATAACATACGGTAAATCTACATTTTTATTCTTTAAGTTACGTCACATTTTGATATGTTAATGATAGTGTGATTAATTCCTAACAATTTAGTGTAGAATATCTTGCTTGTGAAATAAAATTTGGCATCAACTTTATTTATGTCAAAGGTGAATGTTGAGCTTTACCTGCGTGTGCAGCTTTTTAAACGAGAGACAGACGAATACTTGGACAGATATCACGGTTCAGAATATATATACGATGTCGCTGAAAGTTATCACTAACTTAAAAGTGATAGACTACAGTAAAGGCAGCTATTCCAGACTATCCACCGCCAACTCTTGGACTACTTTTTCCAACGAATAGTAGGATTGATCGTCACATTATAACGTCACCACAGCTGAAAAAGCCAGCATATTCTGTGACGGAGAATCGAACCCGCTACCCTCAGATTGCGAGTCAAGCGCCCTAAACTAACCAGGCCATACGAGGATCCTCACCACCAGTCCGTACCAGGAACCTAACCACCAGGCCATACCAGGGCCCTAACCACCAGGTCGCGCAAGCCCTTCTATAAATCAATTTATTTCGATTTTCTTATCGTAAGCTTCCAAAGCTGAAAAATAGAAACCAGAATAACAAAATTTCAACAAACAGACTTTAAGCGTAAATATTCACTTTGGCCAATAAAGTTACTTACATTCTGTGACGTTCTTGTTTCTGGCAATTGTGGTAGAGGGCGTTGAGAGCACACCCATCTTTATTCTGTGGTGTTACACGATTCGTACTAGCACACGCTAAAGTTGGAATGTTTCTCTGACTAACTTAATTCTATCAATTGCGTATCGAGACAGATAACGAGAAGAGTGTGGAAAAAAGTCACGTGTAAATTATCTCCATTGTGTTTCTACTATCTCACAGAACTTTCTCGAAAACTCGTCCACTTTGTGAACACAATTTTGTTTACGCGCACTATCTTTTACTTCTGGCCCGGCATGGCCAGGTGGTTAGGGCGTTCGACTCGCAATATGTGGGTCGCTGGTTCGAATCCCCATCACACCAAACATGCTCGCCCTTTCAGCCGAGGGGGCGTTATAATGTGACGGTCAATCCCACTATTCGTTGGTAAAAGAGTTGGCGGTGATGTGCGATGACTAGCCGCCTTCTCTCTAGTCTTGCACTGCTAAATTATGGACGGCTAGCGCAGATAGCCCTCGTGTAGCTTCGCGTGAAATCCAAAACAAACTTTTACTTGTCTACAAACGTATATTCTCCATTTTTGGATATTTCTTCGGGATTAGGTTAGTTCGAATGTGTTCTTTGTCGCCTACTTCGTGTTCTACAACCTCACGTGAACCGATCTATATCTCGACTATTTCTGTTTTCGGGGCATTAACATCGATTGAAGCTTAAACATTTATAGATCTCCTTTTATTGATATGTTAATATGTTTGAGCAGTATATTTTCAATCTGCATTCTTTATATTGGGTCATGCTGATCAAAGAAATGGTTGACGCATGTTTCTACTTTTTTCAGCAGACCCCCTGGTGTTTCAGTGGCAATTCTGAGGACGTAAAACTCTAAAGATCGAGATTCGACACTTGTGGTGAGCAAAGCACATTGTGTAGCTTTGAACTTAACAAAAAAACAAATAATATTTTTTATGGGACTTCCTTCCGATATTTCGAGAATAGATTACAGACCGGGGACATCTTCGATTATTTATTTCATGTTTTATTACACACTTTTACTGGAACTTGGTGTTTCGATTGATATTAGATCACTGTCTTTCCCGGCGCGATGTTTCTTGATGCATGTTTTTCGTGTCGGACAATTTTTATTGGGTCATGAGAAAAATGTTGACTAGTAACCATTCCCATAATTCTCAAGAAGACACTGCGGATGTCGTCAAAATGAAAATAAAAAACACACTTCTTCCATGACTATTTTGGCCCTGGCCAAATGACTACCGTATCGGGCTGTGGTTCGAAAGGTTTCGGTGTTCGATGTGGGACTCCGCGAAGCACGCTCCACACTTTCCACTGAGACTTACAAACAAACACAAATAGAGGGATGTACATATATATACATATATAAAACTCAATTTTATACGTTCCTCCCGGCCCGATTCGAAGATTAACAGAACTTGATGGTTAGAAAACACTGGAGTAGACACTAAATGAATACTGCGGCCTAGAGTAGTAGCTAGCCTTCCGGGCTGCGTACCTTTATTGTCAAAGGTTTGAGCCAAGATATTCCGATAAACACGCTCCGTGCATGCAACTGTAAGTGCGTTATCAATGTGACAGTCAATGTGTTATTCTATTAAAATTAGCCACGTAGGTGACGGGTACTATTAGCTGTTTTCTCTTCTTCTGTTGAGTTCTAAGTTAAGGATGGGTAGGCCTGAACCTTAGGGGGTTTCTAGCCTGCTAATATTGTAAAACTCACAAATCCAAGTGCTAGTAAGTCAAGTTTCATATAAATATGATGTATCTTAAACCTCAATACGACTATCTATCTGCGATCTGCCTATCGCGGGTATCGAAACTCGGATTTTAGTGTACAAGACATGGAACTTGCCGAAGAGCCGTCGAGTGTGGAGTGAAACTGATAATAGAAAGTAGGCTTATTGGTTCAGTGCCGGTTTATTATTTCAATCATATTCATCGTATTTTTCCCAGCAAGAGCCGATAAGGTTGTTATAAGCTGGGTTTCTTTCCAAGTATCATTAGAAAGGCACAGATTTAACTAGATCTTTCTTCCTACGAGCTTAATGGTCTTCAGAACGCACCTCGAATGCTGTATGCCGAGTAGAATTAATAGTATTGACAGGAAACACTGATCCAATGAAAGTACAGTTAACGGATGATCGACTCACCTCGCACTCTATATAAAACAACAACAACAACTGATCCAATGAGAGTACAGTTAACGGAGATCGACTAACCCGCACTCTATATAAAACAACAACAACAACAACTGATCCAATGAGAGTACAGTTTACGGAGATCGACTCCCTCGCACTCTATATAAAACAACAACAACTGATCCAATGAGAGTACAGTTAACGGAGATCGACTCACCCACACTCTATATAAAACAACTGATCCAATTATATCTATGTATAATATTTTAGTAATTCTCTTTATACATTAGATTCTTAATGGCCTGGCAGGTGACCTGACTGTTAGAGACAGAGAAATTAATTATATCTCGTGAAACGGCTCGTGCCTCCTATAGATACAAGGAATTGCGTCTGGAGATCTAATTTCGTGAAACGGGTGACGTCTTTTATAGATACAAGTAACCCCGTTATGATGAGGCGAATGACGTTCTTCATTAAATCTCGAGACCTCATCTCTTGAAACGCGTGGTAACCATACTAGTGGTACATTTTATTGAAACATCTAACACCTCCTAATTTACTAGAATCTCTGAAAGAAAACTATTTACACTACTAGAAAAACTTACTGGAATTTTTAAGATTGCGTTATACCAAATTCTCAGCATAAACGTTCGAGGTTTTGGGATAACTTAGCTCGTGAACTAACAATCTATACAGGCATGTAACAAGTTAAAACATCTCTATACATGCATGTAACAAGTTAAAACATCTCTATACAGGCATGTAACAAGTTAAAACAATCTCTATACAGGCATGTAACAAGTTAAAACAATCTCTATACAGGCATGTAACAAGTTAAAACATCTCTATACAGGCATGTAACAAGTTAAAACATGTACGAATCATTTCTTTCATGTTAAGTATCGTGTGTTATCCAGCAGATTCGATGATTAAAATTTATGACGTTCCACGTAGGTCGGTATCAGTTTTAAAAACTGTCTGTCAACACTTGTTTAGTGTTAAGGGTTCTTTTTTCCAGTTTTTTCTGGTGACTTTCTATTTAAATGATTTCAATGAAAGAGAGACAACTTTTATTTTATATCCAACAAAAGAAGAAAAAATAAACGGTAGAATATGGGCTATTAACACACAAACTTAACTTGTTAACAGATATAATGAATATTTTTTGTTCGGAAGTTACTGCCATTCGATCAGTTCATAACGATTCTAACGAAATTTCTGAATTTTCTCAATCAAACTTATAATTCTCAATTCGTGGAATTTAGACCTATTACGATTAGATTATTTTAAGATATAAACATTTTAAACATAATCTTTGCTATTAAACACGAAGCTACACTCAATGGTCTAAACGTGTTCTGCCCAGCACAGGTATCGAAATCCAATTTTTAGCATCTTAAGCCTGCAAACGTAGCGCTGAGTCACTGGGGAGGCTTTAAATAAATATATATATATATCATAATCACCTTGTCTGTATAAAGATACGTTTTCTAGATACGTTTTATAATCACACTGAAGTGAACAGAAATGAGCAACAAACCTATGTAGTCCAGTGTCCAATTTGTATTGATTTTTAGCATAAAACAAGGCTTACAATTTACGTATATTTATTTAGTTATTTTAAACATTTAAGAATTAACACCTGTACATCAAAAGGAAGAGATTACGAAGTAACTATTACTGAAATTTCAATAATCATCCATACCTGTTCAACACCAAAGTTGTCTGCGTTCCAAGCTATTACGGGTAACCCTAGGTAACCAGAAAGTTGTAGAAAGTACTGGACCGAGGCTGCATTGCTACCAAAAATATCAGCGTTGGTTAGGTACAAAACGGTGATTACGTCGTTTTTTAGTAGTTCGTCGCAGAGTTTTTTGAGTATTTCGGTGGGACTAGGGTTAAGAGACATCATGACAACTTCCTTGAAGTTAATATCGTACAGGTTGTTCAGTTTTAATTGAGGCTCGCGGTCCTTTTTCAGAGTTTGCAACACCTCGTTAAGTTTCTTTTTGTAGGCTCTTTTAACGCTATCAAAGGAAGAGTGCGGAAGGATGGCACCAAAATATAGGGTTTGTTTCTTCTGGTCTTGTTTCTCGTCAGAGTAGGTCCGACTGGCCACGACTAAAACGGCAGCAAAAAAGAGCAGTTGAAAAACGGCTAGTGCTGTAGAGGTCATTTTGAAGACTTAGCTAGCTTGAACTCTAGCGGAAATTTCAGTTTGTAGGCTTTACTGTAAGACCACACATTTTGATTTAGCCCATAAAAAGACCTCATAAAAAAAACAACAAAAACTATCATATGCTATGTGAGAAAGTGTGTCGTCTTCAATGTTATCAAATCTTCTTCGGGCCTCGTAAAACCTCTGAATTATCCTGAAAAACAATATAAAATTCTATATTTATTTTAACTGAACGAACGTCTCAGTTGATAAAACTAATACTTAGCAATATTACTTTTGGTATGAATAAACATAGAAATTATGAAGATGACAATCGTGCTGAATGAAAGCTTGCAGATAACCGGTCAGTTTTATTGACACAGAAATCTTTAAAAACACTGACTGGGTTTAAACAAAATTCAAATAATATTTTCTGAATGGGGTCGTTAAAATACTTTCGAATCAAATGTAGGTTATAATTTTATTATATAGGTCACAGATTAGGTCACATTTGGAGTATTGCGTTCAATCTTGGGTACCTTACCTTAGGAAGGACATTGAATTATTGGAAATGTTCAAAGGACGGCTACTAAGATGATACCTGGGATGGAAAGGTTGTTATATGAGAAAGGGTTAAGATCTCTGAAATTGCTTTCACTGGAAAAAAAAAGAAGAGTTAGAGAGGATCTAATTGATGTGTTTAAGATTGTTAAGGGAATTGATAGTGTTGATGCATCAGCATATTTCATAGTAAGAATAGTAAAACTAGGGTACACAAGCATGAATTTTAAGCAAGGAAGAAGTCATCTTCAACCAAGACAGCTTCATTTTCCTAAGAGGATGGTTGGTCTTTGGAAAGGGTTGCTTTCGGATGTGGTGGGTGCAGTTAATTTAATGGATTTTAAGGGAAAGCTTGATAAGTATTTGAATGATAAGGGCTGGCGTTGAGATTTTGTTAAGGGTTTAGTTGAATTTAGTGGATAAGACAGCCTAGATGGACCAAATGGAAACAAGTAGATTACTTGTTGAATATTATCACTTCCATCTGGTGGCATTTTTCACATTTGGCCATGCTGAACCGCTGTTTAAATCTCACTAGTATAAAATAGCCCCGCTCCAATGCGGGATTCAAAGACCCCCCTCATAATCCACAAATACCCCAACGTGCCGATCAAGTCCTTCATTAACCCCAATTACTTCTATGGCTACCCCAAGGGGTGTTCGAATAAAACCCCGTTAGGAAACTCACCCGTGGTATCTGAACAAGTGCTACAAATTTGATCCCGCTAGCTCGTGAGTGGGGATCTGAACACAGTTTCAAACATGGTTCCCACGAAATTTTGAGTGGGCCAGGAAAACAAAATGCGATTTCAGGTTCGGGTTTAGTGACAAGAAAACATACCCCTGCCTTTCAATTGATCCATTAGGCTGACTGAACCCACAAAATTAAATTTTGGAATTATTTGTTCTTTAAGTAATTGTAATTATTATTTGTTTTCATCTTTTATTACGTGTAGTTGTACAGGATGTCGTGGAAATACGAATTATAAACAATGAATGTGGTCGTGATATATTTCTTAAAAACATTAGAACAAATATGTCAAAATGGCGCTGACCAGTTATAAACTTCTACTTGTTTATGATTGAAGTCAAACACACACACACACACACACAAACACATTACGTATTGTTTAAAACACATTTCAGCTGAAATTTGGAAGGTTAAATGGATTTCATTTATCTGTTTGGAGATGAGTTTACCATAAGCTACGACTGAAAAACGGATACCTCATCTCTCTACATATACTTTCAAACTGGTGGATGAAGTCCGTTGAACCTTGTAATATGACCATAAGCTGCCTATCTTTGAATTGCGGAAAAAATTACAACTTTCAATAAATTAATGCCCTTCCACTCAGTGTTGTCTGACTCAAGTGATCAATGAAAACTTTTGTAACAGTAACCCTAAATTCGTTTAAGTTTTCCAAGTTTGTATAAGGATCTGTGTGAGATCAAAGTTGAAATAGCTCTTCAAAGTCCTACCAAGAACAAAACAAACAACATACGATAAAGCTCGTTAAGATTTTACGGGTGGTTTGTTTTAGAGCACAAATAGGAGCTCATCACGAGTTTCACGATTTCCAAGTAGATTAAGAAATGATACAATTTACAGAATATTGTGTTTATTCGTGTGTGTGTTTTCCAACAAAAATACTTTTGAAACATGTTTGTAGAAATCAGTTCTAAAAGGATTCAAATACTAAAAAAAAAAAAAAAAGTAATGAGTAATGTTTTACTTCCGACGCCATCTTGCTAGAAGTCGAGTGAATGTTAACAATGAGACAGTGATGCTCGTTCAATATCTGCTCGTTTGTTAATTTCCGGTATAAATTCTTTCCGAGGAACTTCAGTGATACAAGTCCTTTCTTAATTAAAACTAGTTTATACTTCCTCGATTCAACTTTGTAATACACGGAATTTCCAATCAGTACATTAAACTTAACTACTTTTATAACACACGCTATAAATCTCTTAAGGTGCCTACTGTTCGCTTGACTCAATTATGTATCTCTTCCAATCTATCTGCATATCTATTCTCCTCTGGTTTTATTTGTCGAGCTTATATACTAAAAAAGAGAGCGTCTGGCAAACACTCGGACATTCGCGGGGTTCCTCGATAAGTCATGGTCCTTCTAGAAACTCCA